GGTCCTCGGCGGGCCCGGGGGAGGGCCCTCTTTTGTGGCTGCAGTTGGCAAGATGGCGCCCGTGGGGGTGGAGAAGAGGCTGCTGCTGGGCCCCAACGGGCCCGCGGTGGCGGCCGCCGGTGACCTGACCAGTGAGGAGGAGGAGGGCCAAAGCCTATGGTGAGGCCGCGGGCGGCCGGGCCGGGGAGGGCGCGGCCGCTGGGCCGGATCGTCGGACAAACTGACGGGCCGTCGCGGGCCTGGCCGTCTCAGGCCGGCCTTGGGACTGACTACTCTTGACATTGTCGCCACAGGTCCTCGATCCTGAGCGAAGTGTCCACCCGCGCCAGGTCCAAGCTACCGTCCGGCAAGAACATCCTGGTCTTCGGTGAGCGCCGGCGGCGGGGCGTTGCCCCAGGTTCTGGGATGGGCGAGGCGGGCGCCCCTCCCACGGGTCCCAGCCAGCCTCTTTCCTGCCGCCTGCCCTTATCCTTCCCCGCCCGGCAGGGCCTTGTCGACCCCGGCTGGGCAGCTGAGAGTGGCCAAGCCTACGGCGCCTGAGGGTGGGATGCTGCCCCTTTTGGAGAGCCCGGTGATGATGTGTGGAGTTGTCGGCACATTCCTTTAGTCACTTGGCCACAACATCACTTTGCTTTTTCAATGCTCCTGGCTTCCTTCCCCCGTAGCCTCCACAGTTACCAAACCGAGGCCGTGGAGAGGGGAGTGAGAGATGAGAAGGTTAGGTGCAGAAGGTGGGAGAACAAGGTGACCTGGGCTGGGAGCTGTGGGGAGGTGCTACGGGTGCCTTCCTTGATCCTTGTGAGCAGTGCACAATAGGAGGTTTTAGGGACTTTGCAAAGTACAGCAGGCCTGAAAGTCAGCACCAGGTACTCTTCCTGCAGCCCTCATTGCTAGGTTACCTGAGTCAGGTCCCTTAATCTCTCTGGCCTCAGTTTCCTCATTCAAGCAAGGGGGTTTTGGTACATTCACACAGTAAACCCGTTTGTCGTGTGGGAACTGTGGACTGTGAACTGGTACAGAACAGACATCTCTTAGACACTACACAGTGATCAAGACAGATGTGTTGGTGATTGTGCTACACTATGCCAGGCATGGGCAGATAATTTTGGGAGCATCACACTGCTTGGAGTTGAAAGACAGTAATTTGGAGGTTGAATATTTTGAAGAATATGTGTCAACATGCAGGGGCACAGAAATAATAAGAGGATGTAGGTCTGCAGACTGCTAGAAGCTCCTTGTGGTTAGTGCCTGCTAAGGTGAGTTGAAGGCAGATTGTGGAAAGGCTGAAGTGTTATTGCCCTTTCCTAAAGACCTCTGATTCTCAAGGACCTTTTATCTCACCTCTGTCCTCCCAGTCCTCCTGGAGTCACTGCCTTGGTGGTGTTTCTAAAGGGAGTGCATGACCTTTCTCAGGTGATAACCACTGTGGTAGGTAATAGGGGACATTTAGAGATCTTCAATAAGGGGGGGTTCAGGATCACCAGATCTGTGTTTTAGAAAGATATAACTGACTGCAGAGAGACAGGTAACTCAAAATAAGCAGGTACTAAGTCAGACTGCTAAGTGCTCACCATGGTCCGGATGGAATGGCAAGGGCCTGAATAAGTTAGAAGCACTGGGGATAAAGAGGAGGTCTTTGGTCTGTGGGATGCCTTTCAGTTCTCATGTTCTGTAATTTTTAATTTTTTATTTATTTATCTTATTTTATTTATTTTATTTTATTTTTTTGAGTTGGAGTCTCACTCTGTCGCCCAGACTGGAGTGCAGTGGCCGCTCCCAGCCACCACAGCCTCGACCTGCTGGGCTCTGATGATCCTTCCGCCTCCCGAGGAGCCGGAATTACAGGCGCGTGCTACCACACCTGGCTAATTTTTTTATTTTATTGTAGAGATGAGGTCTCGCCTGCCCAGGTGGGTCTTGAACCTGCGGGCTCAGGCAATCCACTCACCTCAGCCTCCCAAAGGTGCGGGATTACAGGCTGAGCCACAGAGCCCGGCTCTGTAATTTTTTTTAAATATATTTTTTATATTTTATAGAGATGAGGTCTATGTTGCCCAGGTTGGTCTTAAACTCCAGGGCTCAAGTGATACTCTTGCTTCAGCCTACCAAAGTGCTAGATTTACATCACCTTGCCATGTTCTGTAATTCTGTATTATTAAATGCCAGGAGTGCCTAGTGATGTTTGTTGATGATGTTTCTGATGTTTTGGGATATGAAGGGTGGGGGTAGATGAGGAAGTGCTTGATAATTAGTCAGATAGTACTTAAGAATTTTACTTAGGTCTACTGTAATTATTTTCTTCAATTTCCCAGCCTTCAGAATACTTATGGAGGAGATGTACTAAAAAGTGAATAATTTCTATTTTTTGTGATTGTGAGGAAGGGCCAGACTTTTAGTTTACAGTACCTGGACTTTCAGGTTATTTGTACCATATTTTGGAGATTTCTTGCTTTTCTTGTGGTAAAAGTTTATTTTGTGAGACACTGACCCCACCTTTACTTTTACTTCTCCAAATGTGTGTCTTATAAATTGTAGACAGGGCCTGTGGACCTGCCTTATTCCTTCCCTTGTGAAGTAATGTTCCTTCCCATCCTGTGAAGTAAGGATAACTGCAGCAGGATGCCATTTTAGATCTCGGAATTTGCCTCATTTAAAGCCCCTTATTTCTTACCCTCTCAACCACTCTTCTAGTAAAGTTTGCTAAGACCTCAATAGCAGGCTTTGCATGAAATTCTTAGTTGTTCCTTGTCATGTGAGTATCATGGCATACCCATCCTTGCCCAGAATAAACAGTACACCTTTGTCTTGCAAACATCATTTGTAGGTGAAGATGGTTCTGGTAAAACAACTCTCATGACTAAACTACAAGGAGCTGAGCATGGCAAAAAAGGAAGAGGCCTAGAGTATCTCTACCTCAGCATCCATGACGAGGACCGAGATGGTGAGTGAAGCCCTGGTCTGTGGTTAGGGCATGTACACAGGACTCTGACTCCTTGAGTATGGCTCCTACAGCATGATGTCCTAAGAGAATTAGTCACAGGGAATAGGTGAAGCATATATTTTTTGCAGGACTTTGCCCACTTTCCTTTATAGACTATCTTAGCCAAAATGAGGAATGAGACTGTTAGCTACTACTCTGGGCTAGACTGCAGTTTTAAGGAAATACTGAAGGTAAAGTTTCACTTATATAAATGTAGTGAGAAATATTCTTAAAAGCTTTGCAGTTTTCTGTGAGAAAATGCTTGGCAGACTGATCTGGGTACCACTGTTACTCTGCCTGGTTCTAGTGGAGGATCTGAAATTGGTGTGGTTCAGAGTGTAACAATTTTTTTTTTTTTTTTAAGTCATCCAGGCCGGAGTATGTAACATGATCACAGCTATCTTGACCTTGACCTGCTGGGCTCAGGTGGTCTTTCTGCCTCAGTCTTCAAAGTGGTTGGGACTATATGCACCACCAAGCCCAGCTAATTTTATTTTTTTGATTGTAGAGATGTGGTCTCATCAAGTTGCCCAGACTGCTCTCAAACCCTTGGGCTCAGGCAATCCTCTCGCCTTGGCTTCTCAAAGTGGTGGAATTACAGGCATGAGCCAGGCCCAGAATGTAACAGTTTAACATATGATCACCGGAGAGTTTCTAATTTAACATATGTTCACAAGAGAGTTTCTGAGTCTCTTTGTGACAGTTTAGAGATGCTAATTTCCTATATTTCTTCTGGTGGAGGCAATAGAGGCTCAAGGGTGATAATGCTCTTTAATTTCTCATCTTTAAAATGTGGGTTGTAATAGTTTTTACCTAGTTATGATGATTAAAAGCACAAAATCAACTCTTATGAGGGCTACATATCTTTAAAATTTTTTTTCTTGTAATTGTGAGTTTAATTGGAGGAATGGTTTTTGGTTACAACTATTCAGTAATGCCTTCTTTATAATCTTTTAGGCTTTATGTTAGATCTTTTGAATAACTAAAATAAATAATTATTGGTGCTTAGGGTTTTTTTGTAGGAAAGTTATCTGTGTAGCCTAAAGATGAAATATATTCATTAAATTACTTTTTTTTTTTTTTTTGAGTTGGAGTCTCACTCTGTCACCCAGACTGGAGTGCAGTGGCCGCTCCCGGCCACCGCAGCCTCGACCTGCTGGGCGCTGGCGATCCCTCCGCTTCAGCCTTCCAAGTAGCTGGAACTACAGGCGTGCGCTACCAAGCCCAGCTAATTTTTTATTTTATTGTAGAGATGAGGTCTCACCAAGTTGCCCAGGCAGGTCTCGAACCCGTGGGCTCAGGCAATCCACTCACCTCAGCCTCCCAAAGTGCTGGGATTACAGGCTGAGCCACCGAGGCCGGCTAAATTACTTTTTTTATATTTGCCTTTACCCATTCAAACAGTAAAGATCATGATGTAAGAGTGATTATATAAGGGAGGCTAATCCTACTACCTCTGGTCCCCCATTTCCATATTGCTAAAATGAAGAAGCAGATCAAGGTCCTTTTGAACATCATAATTATGCCATCTCCAAGAGCTGTTTAGTAGAGGACATAGGTAAGGGTCTCTTTTTAAAGCTTGGAAATCTACATTGTATTAATGTTAATTTAGTGGTCATCTTAGAACCCTCAGCGTCCCTTGGCTTCCTTTGTCATGCTGAACATTCCCTGGTGGATGTGAAAGGAAGGCAGGAGGTAGACATAGTGTTGAGGGCTCTGTCTTGTATAAGAAGGACAGAGGTATTCAGGTGCCTATTTAGGCCCACAGGAGTCTGCATGTAGTGCTGGGACTCAGGAGCTGTTGAGGTGGCCTTGTGAGGCAAGTCTCTGTCTTTTGTTTCTTGTCTTTGCTGGGAAGCATGGTTATTGTGGCAAGAACTTAGGCTTTGGAGCCAGGCAGAACTGGTTTAGAAGGCCAGTTCTGTAGTCTGTAGTGTGGCCTTGGGTAACTGACTTGAGTTTCCTCATTTGTTGAATAGGGAAACTGCTTATCTTGCAGGCTGTCAGAATGAGAGATGATGTGTGTTAGGTGTAGCAGAGGGCTTGAGAGAAGGCAGTAAATCTTGCCCTGTTGTCTTGTTCCATTTGAAAATGCAAAACATGTAGATATGCTGTGAATCTCTATAGCCTCTTCTGTTTCAAGATGCTATAAGCATATTTCATGCCAAAGCATTGTGTTAACTATATTTACTTGCTTTTGAGTGGAAGTACATGTTAACTTTTACTTCAGATTCCTTTAAGGTTATGTTGAAAAACTTCTTGGTCTCTGCAATCATAGGCATTTTTTTAGACCGCCTACTTGCAAGTTTCTGTTTGATGGAAAAGTTGCCCTTATCTGTGGTTAATTATACTTCTTTCAGCTCTAGTCTTTTTTATTGTGTGGCGTGACTGGGTTATAAATAAACGCTTTGCGGGCAATCAGCCAGGTAGAGAAAATGTCTCTGGCCTGTACCTGGTGTGTGGTGGGACATAGCATGTCAAAGGACCTGTCTCCAGGATTGGGGACATCTATCTAATGCTACATGTGGTGCATGTGATCTCCAAGCACATGGGTGAGTTATGTGAAGTGGGCAGTGGGAAGAGCCTGAAAAAAGGAACAATGCCTGCTGATGGGTAGGCATTAAAACCCACAGACTTTGGGTACAGAGCAGTATTTCCGAAGGCATTTACAGAACACCAACCAAAACCATTATCTAAAATATATTAGAGATTGAAGGTATAGCTAGATTTAGATACCTTAAATGGTTGACGTAAAGCCACAAATATAAATTTTTTAACATCATGTTAATGAGTCCATTATACAAATGTTTTTCTAAAGGAGGAAGACAGGTTTTTAAAGTATGTGTTGGAATTTAATGGAAAATAAGTTAATGAAATTATCTTTTTTGACGGTAACAGTTATCTCAGGGTACTTTTATGAAATAGAGTTCTCAAAAATACCTAAAAATTGCTAAAAAATATATTATCAGCCGAGCTCAGTGGCTCAGCCTGTAATCCCACGCCTTTGGGAGACTGAGGTGAGTGGACTGCCTGAGCCCGCGGGTTCGAGACCCGCCTGGGCAGCGAGACCTCATCTCTACAATAAATCACAAAAATCAGCCGGGCGTGGTAGCGCATGCCTATAATTTCAACTACTTGGAAGGCTGAGGTGGAAGGATCACTGGAGCCCAGCAGGTCGAGGCTGCAGTGGCCGGGAGCGGCCACTGCACTCCAGTCTGGGTGACAGAGTGAGACTCCAACTCAAAAAAAAAAAAAAAAAAAAATATATATATATATATATTATCAATTTGGAGGATTGTCTTCTATAGTTACGTCATCCAGGTATGATATTGGAACCATGTGTTTCATGCACTTACACATTTGTTTGAATATGTACTTTGTTGTCATAACAAAGATAACTAATTCCTTAATATCATTACACATCTAGTAATTCATATTCAATTTATATAAATAATGGTTTAATCTTGGCATTAAAATGCAAAGGTCCTGTCTCTTTGGCACCCTCTGCAGTATGTGAACAATGCATTGCTTAGTGTAATTGACACAAGAAGAGCTTGTTTTAAACACAGGCTCTTCATCAGAGCTTGCTGCCTCATAGATTGCTGATATCTTAGGACAATGGATTATTTAGATTGTGGCACAGTTGACCAGTAAACATTGATATCCTTTGCTTCTTACTAAAAACTAAGATACCCTCACTCTTTAGACATTGCGGAAATCTTTTTAGATTTGAACATTGCATATTTATGGTGGTTTTTAAATTTTAGTCTATACAGTTCATCAGGCCCCAGGACCAGTGATTGCTGTTCACTGAGCACTTGGTCCCTTTTCACTTTGGATTTCTAAATCTTACATTCTATGTAGAATTCATGGCTGTCAACTTTAAGATTTTCCTAATGATTCTCATAGCTATGTTGCTGGTCGTTGTCAGATGGTAACTAGCTTCATTTCTTTTCTCAGATCACACACGTTGCAATGTGTGGATTCTGGATGGAGACCTTTACCACAAAGGCCTGCTGAAGTTTGCAGTTTCTGCTGATTCCTTGCCAGAAACCCTGGCCATTTTTGTTGCAGACATGTCTAGGCCTTGGACAGTGATGGAATCTCTACAGAAATGGGCTAGTGTTTTACGTGAGCATATTGATAAAATGAAAATTCCACCAGAGGAAATGAGAGAATTGGAACAGAAGTGTAAGTAAAATAAAGTTTTCTTAATTGGGAAATTCACTAGTCTCTTTGGATAGTTCTATAGTTCTAACCACTGTCCTTCTCACAGTCAAGAGTCTTCCCTTGCATCATGTTTGTATTTTGTTTGCATCATTTATTTTAGAGTTGCTCTTGTAAATCCAGTAGTCAAAAAGTATTCAAAGCAGTTTTTAATTCAAGTGTCACAGTTGAAGAAAGTCAGTATTTCTTATCTTCATTGGTTCTCTTTTTTTTTTTTTTGAGTTGGAGTTTTACTCTGTCACCCAGGCTGGAGTGCAGTGACATACTCGTTGCCACTGTAGCCTCAACCTGCTGGACTCAGGGGATCCTTTCACCTTAGTCTTCCAAGTACCTGGAGCCACAGGCGTGCACCACCATGCCTGACTGATTTTTTTTTTATTATTATTTATTGTAGAGACCAGTCTCACCAAGTTGCCCAGCTTGGTCTCAAACCCCTGGGCTTAGGCAATTCTCTCGCCTCCACCTCTCAAAGTGCTGGGATTATAGGCTTGAACCACCATGCTTGGCTCATTGGTTTGCTTTTAAAATTCCTTTTATTTTGAGTTGGAGTCTCACTCTGTCACCCAGGCTGGAGTGCAGTAGCACACTCACAGCCACCTCAGTGTTGACCTGCTAGACTCCGGCGATCCTTCTGCCTCAGCCTTCCAAGTAACCGGAACTACAGGCACGTGCTCCCACGCCAGGCTAATTTTTGATTTATTGTAGAGATGAGGTCTCGCCAAGTTGCCTGGACTGGTCTCAAACCCATTGGCTCAGGCAATCCACTCACCTTAGCTTCCCAAAGTGCTGGGATTACAGGCTGAGCTACCAGGCCCGGCCCTGGTGTGCTTTAAAAATGAAAGTTCTTCCCTTGGTCCCCCAGATGTGACTAGTTCTATGGGTCTCTATGCTTTTCTGTTACTCTCTGTCTGCTGAGTTACCGGGTGTGAGGAGTTGCTGTGGTCTCTGCAGCTTGAGTTCACTGCTCTGGAATTCCATTAAGGTCCTATGGACTCTCTTATTGGCAGATTTAGCGGAAGCCCTAAAAAAGACAAAGCTTTCAGCTCCTATATTAGTTCATTTTGGATCTAGCAAATATGATTTTAGTTAGAAATAGGATTTGGGAGGCTAAGACGAGGGGATTGCCTGAGCCCACCACTTCGAGAACAGCCTGGGCAACTTGGCAAGACCTTATCTCTACAATAAATCAAAAAATTAGCCGGGCATGGTAGCCCACACCTGTAGTTCCAACTTCTTGGAAGGCTGAGGCGGAAGAATTGCCTGAGCCCAGCAGGTTGACGCTGGAGTGGCCGGTGCAGTGGCTCAAGCCTGTAGCACTTTGGGAGGCTGAGGTGAGAGAATTGCCTGAGTCCAGGGGTTCGAGACCAGTCTGGGAAACTTGATGAGACCTCATCTCTACAAATCAAAAAATTAGCTGGGAATGGTGGTGCGTGCTTGTAATTCCAGCTACTTGGAAGGCTGAGGCAGAAGGATCGCCCGAACCCAGCAGGTCAAGGCTGTGGTGGCCATGAGTGTGCCACTGCATTCCAACCTGGGCAAGAGTCAAACTCCAATTCAAAAAAAAGAAATAGGAAGGTCATTTTTTGTCAGTAAAATGAAAGGCTGCTTTAAGATTAAGGATATCCACTTCCTTTTGAGACAAAGAACTTTGAAGTTAAAGAAAGTCTGAGGCTGGGCACAGTGGCTCACGCCTATGATCCCAGCACTTTGGGACCTAGGTGAGAGAATTGCCTGAGCCCACAGGTTCGAGACCAGCCTGGGCTACTTGGCGAGACTTCATCTCTACAATAAATCAAAAATTTAGCTGGGTGTGGTGGTGCATACCTGTAGTTCTAGCTACTTGGAAAACTGAGCTGGAAGGATCACCTGAGCCCAGCAGGTTGAGGTTGCTGTGGCCATGAGTGTGCCACTGCACTCCAGCTTGGGCGACAGTGAAAGACTCCAAGTAAAAAAAAAAAAAAGTTTGTTTTATTTTGTTTTAACTTAATATGGTTCAGAAGCTGATTTTTCCTTTCCCTTGCTACTGTGCAGTTACGTCATCTTCTGTCCACTTGCCAGGGAAATGGGAGGGGCAGGGGCTGGAGCCGTGGCAGTGGCGGCAGCAGCAGCCATCTTGCCAGGGCAGGCTTGGCCAACCTGGCTCATTTCCATAGGATGATATAACTTCCTCTAGTGAATTTTTTTTTTTTTTGAGTTGGAGTCTCACTCTGTCACCCAGATTGGTATGCAGTGGCTGCTCGTGGCCACCGCAGGCTTGACCTGCTGGGCTCCGGTGATCCTTCCGCCTCAGCCTTCCAAGTAGTTGGAACTACAGGCGCGCTACTGCACCCGGCTAATTTTTTAAAAAATTTATTGTAGAGATAAGGTCTCACCAAGTTGCCCAGGTGGGTCTTGAACCCATGGGCTCAGGCAATCCACTCACCTCAGCCTCCCAAAGCGCGGGATTACAGGCTGAGCCACCAAGCCTGGCCCCTCTAGTGAATTAATGAGGGCTTCTGGGGCATGGCAGACAGGATCTTCACACATACTGGCAGACCATTTCAGAAATGTTGGTTTGCTTTTTTTTAAAAATCAGATTTCCAGCAGTGTGTCTTCCTGTCCCACATTAGCTAAAACAGGGAATTTAACATCTTGTTCTTTGCTTTGTTGTGTATGTGTATATTTCCCTGGTCACCCGCATATGTGCTGCATTGATAGTTATGCAGCTCAGCTCATTTATCTTCAACTACTGACCTTTCTGAATAATACCTTTTTCCCCCAAATAGAGACCCTAAGGACAACTCCTCCTGAGAATTGTCCTGAGACTGAAGACCTGTTTTCCATCCATAGTTCTTAACAGCTTTGTACCCAAGTTAGTGGGTTAATGCACTGGAGACTTCAGTCCTCTGAAGCTGTTTTCTTAAAGTGATAACCTCATAAAGCCTTGTTAAACAGAAAAGAGAAAGATTGAGCCAAGCATATTGTTTTTTCCTAGATAGGGAAAGTGCCTGCCCTGTTACAGGTACTGTTGTAGATGCTAAGGTTACAGCAGACAGAATTCCTGCTCCTGGAGAGCTTAAACTTCCATGAGACACTGAATTTATTTTGTGATCTTATTCATTGATATCTGTGTCACTTGGGATTAGATTTAACTTTATGATGTAAAACCTGAGATAATGATGGCTTAAAAAAAACTGAGGCTTTTTTATCTCCTGTAAATGAGATCTAGAGGTGTAGGTGGTTCAAGACTGGAAAGTAGCTCTGGGAAGACAACTCAAGGACCCTGGCTCCTTTGTGCTTACTGCTTTGTCATTTCTAGGTTGTGGTTCTCTTCCTCCTAACTAGTGCTTTAATCTTCACATCCATGTTCCAGACAGCAGGATGGAGGACGAGGAACCAGGGGCTGAAATGTGCATGCCTGATCCCTTTTAAGGATCCTGGGAAATGTAGTCTTTATTCTGTGTGGCCATATGGTCTGAGTATCAGAAATCAGTTCCATTATAAGGATGGAGAAGGGAGAGGTCGCTGGAGGGCAACTAGTGATGGCTGGACCGATGTCTGTGTCTCATGACTCTAGTAGACTTTTCAAGGGCCTCTCTGCTGTTATCTCCCCTTCTCTGAGATGTTTGGAATGTAGTTGTGCTTTTGTGTTGCATGTTGAAGGAGTGCCTTTGCTACTGCTGGGTTTAGGTTACATTTGAATAAAACATTTGGGCATTCTCTTGCTCAGAGGACTCCCACTTTCTAGATTAATTGGACTCTAGATATTAAATTGAGTGACTGAAGGGCTGTTATACAACCTAGTGTCCAGTCCAATACCAGTCTTCAGTCTGCTGCTTTTGGAAAGGTGCTCCATGGCAGGCCTCTTTCTTTTAGGGATAGGTTCCCCAGTGGTACTGGGTTTGTGGCAGCTTTTTGACTGCAGAAACTATCTGAGAGGAGAAGCAACCCCAAGAACTGCCAGAAGGTGGTGCTTGTTTGTCTTTCCAGCTTTATGTCTGGGGCTTCGGTTCCTTATGTAGGTCTGTGGGATCTTCTTAGGACTGTGGAACCAATCAATGAGGTAGAAGGGAAAAGAGGAGGCAGCAGAGTCAGCAAAGGTAGATCTTCTCCCTATACCCACACCCAACTGCGCTGAAGAGAAACCCAAGGTGGGCTAGTGTTCCCTGTGGTGAAATACTGGCCATCCCACCATCTAGAGAGATTTTTAAAACTGCAGTATGTGAATGCCCAAGAAAAATGCACATATTTGCTATCTGAATTATTCAGATATGTTTTACATTTGCTTTGCCTTCCAAATGGTTTTCTAAAATGCTGAGTTATTAAAAAAATCATGTGAATTTTCTACTGTTGTTGGATAACCACAATTAAGTAATTCCTTTAGAACATGAATAGTCTAACCCAGGGCTTTCAAACTTTCACCTAATGGGACAGGTAGAATACAGCAGAGTTTGTGCAGCACACTGGGTAGTGGAAGTTCAAGGAGCAAGCTGTCTGAGCTACTGCGTCCCCATTCCTCCAATTCCCAATGTCATAGCTTAGCTCACTTGTAACCAGTTCCATTCTCTGCCCTGCTCACTGGGAAGTCCTAGTTGAGTGCTTCGTGAGATCTTGGGTGGTTAGATATTATCCAGACAGTTAAGCTATTGTACTTTTCATTGATTTGAAGATTTTTAAAAAATGCTTCTATAAAGAGAAAACATGAAAAATCTCTTCTACAACCATGTTAAGTTCTGTTTTTGTTGAAAATGGAGTAAAGATCACTTGAGTAGATTATTTAAATTGACGGTGAACTTACATAAATGAGTTTAATTAAAGAGACATTGCAGAGATGAAGTATGACCACGTCTACACTCTAGGGCTTAATCAGTTAGTGCTCAATTTGCGCAGTATTATAAGAAAGACAGGCCAGGTACAGTGGCTTATGCCTGTAATCCTAGCACTTTGGGAAGCCTAGGCAAGAAGATTGCTTGAGCCAAAGAGTTTGAGACTCGCCTGGACAACATAGTAAGACTTCATCTTTACAAAAAATAAAAAAATTAGCCAGGAATTGGAAGACTGAGCCTGAAAGATTGCCTGAGCCCAGAAGGCCAAGGCTGTGGTAAGCTGTGATCATGCCACTGCACTTCAGCCTGGGTGACAGAGTGAAATCCCTGACTCAAAAAAAAAAAAAAAAAAATCTATAGATATATAGCTATATACCCAGATCATTTCAGAAGCTTGTATATAATAATACCCTAAAATCTTTGTAAATAAAAAGTCCTAATTTTAAAATGCTAAAAACCTGTGTGTGGGTGAAGAGGAGTGGGTGCATCTTTCTCCAGGTCTTCTTCAGTCCTGTTAACTTGGATTTACTTAGTGAGCGTGGTTTGGTGAGGGTAAAGTGCTTTTGATCCCTTTGCCCTATTGGTTTTAGAAGAATAGGCAGAGCTGTCTGTTTTTTCCTCTGGCTCAAAGTAGCTTTAAACATCATATCCTTGTTCTCTGGCCTAACATGAGAACATTGAAGTGTCCACATTAAGGTGCAGGCTTGAGGGCTTTGTGATCACTTGGCTTAACTGAAGCATGGACCATTTTTCAGCTTAAAGGCCCTTCTTAGCTGAATAGTGAACATTGTGTGCCAAGAAGTGGTTGTTGTACACACTGATCCCTTTCTTGCATTAGGCAGGAACAGGCTATGAATGCTGCATATGTGACTCAGGATCCTGGAAAGATAAGACTGAGTCCATATGAGTGAGTATAGTGAGGAAATACATCTGGTGCTGACATATCTCAACTGTGTGAAAACAGCGTGTTCTTGTGGGATTCAGTTTTACTAAATGTTTCTAATGAAGATTCTGGGTATTGTAAGTTATAGCTATTTCTAATGGTTGCGTATGTTGAAGTAACACAATTTTACTATTCTGGTATTTTGAAAATGTAAGATACATAAGAACAGTGACTTTTTTGGCTGGACACAGTGGCTCATGCCTGTAATCCATCACTTTGGAAGACAGAGGCTAGAGGATTGTTTGAGCCCAGAGGTTTGAGACTAGCCTGGGCAACTTGGTGAGATCTCGTCTCTATAGTAAATCAAAAAATTAGCCAGGCGTGGTAACTCACGCCTATAATCTCAGCACTTTGGGAGGTGGAGGCGAGAGGATTGCCTAAGTTCAGGGGTTCGAGCCCAACCTGAGCAACTTGGCAAGACTTCGTCTCTACAAGTAAATAAAAAAATTAGCCGAGCATGGTGGCACATGCCTGTGGTTCCAGCTACTTGGAAGGATCACCTGAGGTGGAAAGATCACCTGAGTCCAGCAGGTTGAGGCTGCAGTGGCTGTGATTGTGCCACTGCACTACAGCCTGGATGGAGTGAGACGCTTACTCCAAAAAAATAAAAAAGGTGACTTTTTTTGTAGAAGGAATTATTGAAAGCTTAAAAATTTTTTAAAAACCTATTTGGAAAAAAAAACCTATTTGGGAGTTAGATGCAGTTAAAAACATCCAGGGGGAATGTCTTTGCCGCTCTGGTGTTACAGAGCTTACACTGAATATGTTAGAATTGGCATTTTGCATCACTATCCCTAGATCCTTAATATTGCAGTTCGATGCAACTAGGGATTTTGTCACACACCGTTGCTTATGTTTTGTGCTTATTACTGCTTTTTTTCAGTGTTCTAAAGCAAACATATATTCATTTGTGTGTATGTGTTTTTTTCCCCCCTTAGTTATGAAAGATTTTCAAGATTATGTTGAACCTGAAGAAGGTTGTCAAGGTTCCCCACAGAGAAGAGGTCCTCTGACCTCAGGCTCAGATGAAGAAAATGTTGCTCTGCCTCTGGGTGACAGCGTGCTGACTCATAACCTGGGGATCCCAGTGTTGGTGGTGTGTACAAAGGTGCGTGCCGGGGTTTGTGAGCTTAGGTGGGTTTGGCCAGTCAACAATCGCTGTCTGAAAGAAAGTTTGAGAAACTTTGATGAAGTTTCTTCCCAAGGGAAAGTTGGACGTATTTGGGGTTCATTAAAGTACACTGAATATGTCAGGATAGAAAACACTGTCATTTGACTGGGTTTGAGGGCTCAGTCTGTAATCCCAGCACTTTGGGAGGCCAAGAGGAGAGGATTGCCTGAGCCCGGGGGTTTGAGAGCTGTCTGGGAAACTTGGTGAGACCTCATCTCTACAGTAAATCACAAAAAAATTTAGCTGGGCATAAAGGCGTGTGTCTGTAGTTCCAGCTACTTGGAAGGCTGAGGCGGAATGATAGCCTGAGCCCGCAGGTTGAGGTTGCGGCGACTGTGAGCATGCAACTGCAGTCCAGCCTGGGCGGCAAGAGTAAGACTCCAACTCAAAGAAAATACTGCCATTTAATGTTGTTGCTGGAAACATGACATCACTCAGTTTGCTCATGGCCTGGGTTAATCTCTCTGTGAAGCACTGTTGACTTTCAAAGAGAACTCAAAGCAGTTTTCCTAAGGCTATGTAAACCAGTTCATCTGGTACAAACTGATGGTGAAAAAATAGAATGATGAGGTGGGAGTAGAAATTTAGTTCTGTCATGGACAAAGTTGTATCTCTTACATAATAAAAAAAATTGCTTTAAAAACATTCTGGGTTTCCAAAGTACTTTATTCTCTGTCAGAGCCACCATATTGTCCAACTATAGGTTGTGCCATTCTCATTCTATTCTTGAAAACAGAATCTTATGCTATGTACAGTGGGCCTGTCTCCTGATGTGACCTTTTTGGATGTTCAGCACAATTGTGAAGTGATCAGGCCTATTATATCCTTACTTTACAGATTAAAAAACTGAGGCCCAGGATGAAAGAGAAAAATCTCCATTTTTTTCATGCTTCTTTAATTAATGTTTGAACTCTGGAGTATAGCTTTCTTCTTTGGAACTACAGTACTTTATTTCTGAAGAAGGCACTGGTCCCATTTCAGCATTTGGAGAGGCAGAGCAATGATTCTTTTTCTGTCTTCCCTGTAGTGTGATGCAGTGAGTGTCCTGGAGAAGGAGCACGATTACAGGGATGAGCACTTGGACTTCATCCAGTCACATCTGCGGAGGTTCTGCCTCCAGTGTATCCTTGGGGTGCTTTTGTGGGACCCGGGGCACAGGCTTCCCTCCAGATGGGACATCTTCAAAGAGATAGGGCACTTCCTGAACACAGAATAGTCTTTTGCCAGGGAGAAATTATATATAACTTTTTACTAGTTTTATGTTTTACTATACTGCAATTTAAGGCTTATTAACTTGTGTCTGCTTTTGGTCACTTTTTATTTTTAATTGCTGTGAATTTGATAGGTTTTCATATTAAGAAGCGGATATATAGTCATTTTATTACCAAATTACTTTTATCATGCTGTCTTAGAAATATTTTTAAGCCAGGTGTGGTGACATGTGTCTGTAGTTCTGGTGACTCAAGAAGCTGAAGCGGAAGGATGGCTTAAGCTCAGGAGTTTAAGAACAGCCTAGGCAACATAGCAGACCCCATCTTTACCAAAACTTAAAAAAAAAATCAGCCAGGTGTGGTGGCATACATCTGTAGTCCTAGCTACTTGCCTACAGATGTATGCCATACTTGAGATGGAAGGGTCTCTTGAGCCCAGAAGGTCAAGGCTGCAGTGAACCAAGATCATGCCTGGACGACAGAGTGAGACCCTGTCTCTGAATAATAATAATAATATATTAAAAAAAGAAATCTTAAAATTTGCTTTTATGCAGAAAAGATGAATTACTAAACGGATTTTTTTTTTTTAATGCTGCAGGTGTATCTTATGTGTTTGTTTTGTGCCGTCCATGAAAGAGATGCTTGTGTCAGCAGTCTTTTGATTCCTGTTTCTGTAAAAAGCCATAGCAGTTGGAGACATAGTCCCACACCCGGCTTCCTTTGGGCCCATTAACTTGTTGGCACCCTTCTCTCATAAAAAGTGTGTTTAGTGATAAAACTGGTCACACATGAGCATCTATCGGAAAGGAATCTTGTAGCTTGATATACTGAGAATTTTCCTAGACTAGTCTCAGAGACATTACTTGACTTCTTGGGAAGTAATCTGAGAAGTCAAGACAATAGTTACATGTAAAAAAATAAACTGCCTGGCCCACTTGCATCAACATGCTTTATGCTTTTGACTTGTTCATCTGCGGTTACCTTTTTAGTTTTTAAAATTGTAATGCTTGGCCAGGCGTGGTGGCTCGAGCCTGTAATCCCAGCACTTTGGGAGGCCGAGGTGAGGGGATTGCCTAAGCTCACAGGTTCGAGAACAGCCTGGGCAACTTGGCTAGACCTCATCTCTGCTATCAATCAAAAAATTAGCCAGGCGTCATAGCGCATGCCTGTAGTTCGTAGTAATTTGAGGATTGTGTTTGTATGTATCTGATTTTTGTCTCTTTCTGCAGTTAATTTGTTTTCCTTAAGAGAATTGATTAGATGGAGCTGCCTTGATTTATACATCAGTGAAAGAAGAGAAAAACCTCGACTTGTTGTATAAGTATATTGTTCATAAAACATATGGTTTCCACTTTAACACACCTGCCTTAGTTGTGGAAAAGGATGCAGTTTTTATGTGAGTTCTTTCAAGGTGATGCTTTCAAACTCTATAGTACATTTGCTTTTTACGTTTTACCCTTTCAAGTAAGGTGCCTTCTGTCTGTATCTTATGCAGCCTGCTCTCTTGCCACCTTAGGCTTGTCACAAGTCATACAAACACCCAACCTTCCCTTTCTGCTCTTTCCAGAGTAAGAGGCATTCTGCCTGAGGGAAGTGGGTGATGTGGTCAGTGGTGCTGTTTTTCTTCATTGAGAGCAAGTTGCCAGAACTAGCCATTTTTGGCATTTACTGCCAACTTTCATAACATACTGGCTTGGGAGGGAAGTACAGGGAATTTTGCTTTGGGGATCCTGAATGTCATCTGTTAAAGCATCTGGTTTCTCTGCCTGTTAGCAGGAATGATTGCAAGCAATCTCTCCACATCTTTGTCAGCTTGGGCTTGGGCTGTACTGAGTGTTTCCAGTATTTCACATTTTGGGAGCCACTGGAGTTGATTGTCCTTAATTCAGACTTGGACACCTGTTTTCTCAAGGTTGTGTCTTTCTCTCACTGGAGAATCATGAGTGTTCCTGGGTGCATGAATAAATAATGAAGTTCTGGTTTCTGATAGGACTTGTTAGCAGATTGATGCTCAAGCTTAGATATCCTCTTGACTAACAAAATAAATTACTTGTTCATTCAGCAAACTTTACATAGTACCTCCCAGGTGCCTGGGTTCTCTGCTAGGGACATGGAAGTGACTGATATGTGGTCCTTGCACACAGCACTGTAAGGGACACACACCTGAAGGGGGAAAGAACAGTGATAGGGTAGTGGGAGAAGTATAGCAGGGACAGCAGAGAGGGGGTTGCTGGAAGATGAGTGGTATATCCTAGGCAGAAGGAATTGGGAGAAGGGGCAGTCTGTGAGAGGTTGGAAGTGTGAAAGCCAGGAGCCATCAGGAAGCTGAATAGGTTGTCTCCTACACATTCAAGGAAAGCTTTGCTCGGCCTACTCATAGACAGCATACCTACAGGCTTGGCCTCACTTTGGAGAATTGTCCGGAGCAATCAGGCAGGCATCAAAGGCATAAGCTCAGTAAGTGGTATGTTTGTGGAATCACTCAGTGCCCAAATCACATGTGATCCCTAGGAGAAGGGCAACTGGTTGGATTTGGGGCTGATCTGAAATGGAGAAGCATCTTGCATCTTCTGAAGGCTGCGTGGGTCATGGCAGTATGTCAGTCATGCTTTTGGTCCTGTTAGTAGTTGCCTGTCTTGGGACTGGTAAAGTCAGCAAGACCATTTGAGTGGAGCTAGGCACCCTCTTGGTTATAGACCTGTGGAACAGGGAGTCAGATGGAGAGTGGGAGGCCTGTGAGAAGAATCAGTTGCCATCTTTCAGAACTTCTGGAGTTCAAGAGTGTGTCATATAGGACATTTTACGACTACTAATAAGGGATTCAAGTGGGAACCCGAGGCTGTGGCTTAACTTAATGGAACTTGGCATCATCCTCCCCTATGCTGTTAAGCTGGACAGCACTCATATGGGAGCCTCAAGGACTCCTCGTGCATGTCTGCTATGTAGCCCAGGATAGATGCAGACCCTGATTGACCCTTGACTCTAGAGCACATTCCCATACCAGCTAAATTAATGAACCAATCCACAAGATACCTGTTGTTGGAAAGAAGAATTATCAGAGAAGCAACCCACAGGAGAGGAGCCTCCATGCCAGAGCCCATCCTGAGGTGTGCCCTTTGTGCTCCTCTTTGCATCCTCCTCTCTGTCAGAACAGGTCCCCATTGTTCTTCTGGGTAAAGTTGTGGGAGAGTCCTGATCACTTCTATTGGTGCAGCACATGGAGTCAGTTAGATCTCATATTGGCTCCTTAGGCCTTGGGCCCAGAAACTCAATATGGAGCAGGACCTTGTTGTTGATCTGATGGGTTATACCTACAGTATGTTTTGGCTTATTTACCAAAAGCTGAAAGCTGCCCCAGTAACTAGAAACCCTATCTTTTGGGAAGGGATCTCACTCAGGAGTCCTCTCTAGCCCTGAATGTTCTCTGAGTATGCTCAGTAAGGCAGTTCCAGGAATAGCAAGTCAATACCTGTCTCTTTGCCTTTAGACCTGCAGGCTGGGACAATGAAAAGAAAATAGCTATTTTACATGAAAATTTCACAACCGTAAAGCCAGAAGATGCATATGAAGATTTTATTGTGAAACCTCCAGTGAGAAAGGTACCCAAGTCAATCACTTTAAGAATTTAGGTATTTTTTAAAATGAGGAAACCTGTAAAGAAACAGGTCTCGGACTAGGTGTGGTAGCTCATGCCTGTAATCCCAGAACCTTGGGAGGCCAAAGTGGGAGGATTGCTTGAGTCTAGGATTTTGAAACAAGCCTGGGCAACATAATGAGACTGTGTCACTATAAAAAAAATTAGCTGGGTGTGGTGGTATGCACCTGTAGTCCCAGCTACTCAGAAGGCTGAGGCAGAAATATCATCTGAGCCCAGGAGGTTGAGGCTGCTATGAGCCACTACACTACAGCCTGCGCCACAGAGAACTTGACTCAAAAATAAAAATAAAAGAAACCAGTGTTACACACTGTGCCATTTGGGGGGAAAAAAGTCCAGGACCTTTTTGTCGGTCTTTAAATGAGGTCTGACATTATGCTATAGTGGCTCAGGGTGGGGGTCGGGGGATGAGTGATGGGGTACCCACCTGGAGTTGAGTGGTACTTCCCTTTAAGTCTTGCCAGTCCTGCTGTTGCTTCTGGATTACTTTTACCAGATCCCCTCACTTGCATAATGTTGTTTACAATTTGCCAGACTTAAAAATGCCAGTTGGCTACATGCCACCACTGGTTTTGGGAAGGAGTCTGTTCTAGGCTAGAAAAACATGATTTTAGAGTCTCAACAGGGATCCCTTAGACCCATGTTGAGGCCTAAGCCCAAGATTCTCCTTTCAGCATGAATTTTGGCAGTAGTTGGGATTGTTCTTGGCCTGTGGCCACAAATGTGTATGTTGCTTCACAGCTGGTCCACGACAAAGAGTTGGCAGCAGAGGATGAGCAGGTGTTCCTAATGAAGCAACAGGTAAAGCAAGAAACCTTTTTATGCATGAAATGCTAGTTCCTAGGGCAGAGTTGGGGGTGTCTGCATGTCGTGGGGGGGGAGCACAAAGAACTTGCAGTGGTAGAGGGGTTGAGGTCAGGTCTCCTTATTCCCTCCTACTTCTAGGATTAGTAAGGGTTGGTCCACCTGCCTCGGAAGATGACCTGCCTACCCTACAGAGTCTCCTACAGAGATAGGTTTAGTATCTTTTTAAGTGCTCTTTCTCTGGAATTGTTGGTTTTCTAGCATAATACTTCTGTGTTGCTTACCAAGTAACCTGACCTTACTTCCATTATTTCCTGTGGCTCCACATAGCCCTGTGCATAAAGGCAGGTAATGCCCATTTCATAGGTGAAGAGAGTTAGCTGACAACTTAGAATGCAGACCAAGTCTCACATTGCTCTTTCACCTGGAGTATTGTTAGACACATTATGGGTCCTCTTGATGGTAAAGAAGGTCAGCAGGGGGTTTTGATGTTTTCTTCCCATCGGTTCTTGCCTTCTGTGGTCTGGTTGCTTCCTTAGCTTCCAAACTGATTATTTGGAAATACCAAACTGCTTAACTTAAAATTTTCTGCATTTATGGTGTAAAACATAGGACTTGGTTGTTATCAGTGGTGCCCTCTAGTGGAATATTTGGATTAAGTTTTTCTCCAGATCTTCAGTGCACTCTGCAGGCCTTGGTTAATGGCTGGTTTGTCCCTCTCTTTGCAGTCACTCCTTGCCAAGCAGCCACCCGCACCCACGAGAGCCTCCGTGAGTACCTCATACTACACAGAGGGTCAATGCCTAGTGTCATGTGTGTCCTCAAACTTTATATCATTATTCGTGAGAGCTTGTATTTGTGTGGCTTTCGTATTTTCAAAGGGAGTGTGGTTTCCCTAAAAAGGCCCGTGGCCAAGAACATGATAAAAACTCAGGATAGTTCTGATGAGGGAATACAGCTCTGGAAATTAGAGTGAGCTGGCTTTGTTATCTTGCTATTGCTTCCCTTAGGAGAAGCTAATCTAGAAAGGGCCTGAGTTGGGAGCAAACTTCTAGCCCTTTACTGTATAGCCCATGAAAAATATTCTGCAAGTTTGTCTTCATTTTTGGCATATACATTTTCTGTTATTTTTGTGCCTGTGTGTGACCTGAACTGGTTTTGGACTTAGGAATCCCCTGCAAGAGGACCCTCTGGCTCTCCAAGGACCCAGGGTCGAGGAGGGCCAGCCAGTGTGCCTAGTGCCTCCCCAGGCACGTCAGTAAAGAAGCCGGACCCAAACATCAAAAGTATGTATCCTTTCTCTATGCAGAGTAGCTTAGTTCAATCCTAGGCCTCAGCCCTGCAGGGACTGGATGGCCAAGTCTGTAAGGTGGAGACCTATGAAAACTGGGTTCCCTTCCCCAGTAAAGGCTGCTTTTCACTTTTCCAGAAGGAGGAGATCCATGGTTGTCAGAGACCAGGGCCTATTTCTTTGTTGAAATCAGTTGCCCATGCCTTGTTGGGCCCTTTAGCTTCCTTCAGAGAGGCAAACAAAATAGGAAGTCACTTTAAAGTGTGTATTTTGAATCATTAATTTTGTTTCTTAGTGTATTTAAATTATTACTATTTATGAATTTTGGGATTTTTTTCCCCCCTTCTCTTGTCAGGCTCAATTACTTATTAGTTCAAGTAGCCATTATCCCAGTGGCTTATTGATACCCAAAGATATTGACTATTACAAAGCTGCGAAAACAATGTTTTATGTAATTCTTGCACATTTGATGGGTGTTTTCTATTCAGGATACACGCTTCTCACAGCAGGGTTGGAGTGTTAAGGGCTCATACTACTTTGAAAACGCTGCCTCAGCTGGGCTTGGTGGCTCAACCTATAATCCCAGCACTTTGGGAGGCTGAGGTGAGTGGATTGCCTGAGCCCGCGGGTTTGAGGCCCGCCCAGGCAACTTGGTGAGACCTCATCTCTACAATAAATCAAAAACTAGCTGGGCGTGGTAGCGTGCACCTGTAGTTCCAGCTACTTGGAAAGCTGAGGCGGAAGGATCGCCGGAGTCCAGCAGGTTGAGGCTGCGGTGGCTGGGAGCGGCCACTGCACTCCAGTCTGGGTGAGACAGTGAGACTCCAGCTCAAAAAAAAAAAAAAAGAAGAAGAAAACGTTGCCTCATGGGCAGGGAGATGACTGTGGAACACAGGTTATCTCTTCTACTCCCAAACAAGTGGGAAATTTAAACATGTTTCCATTTAGTGTTCAGGTAACACATAAGTAGCCTCAGCAGAAGCAATGTATGAGAGTCATAGTAAGTGAATATTATCAGTATCCTAGGAAGATGATAACTACAAATGGTTGATTCCAAGCTGAGAAGAACTAGGGGCTGTTTTATTTTGTTTTGCTAATTAAGTCTTCCAGTTTATGTGATGTTTTGTTTTTATCTTTTAGATAATGCAGCAAGTGAAGGGGTATTGGCCAGCTTCTTCAACAGTCTGTTGAGTAAAAAAACAGGTTCTCCTGGAAGTCCTGGTGCTGGTGGCGTGCAGAGTACAGCCAAGAAGTCAGGTACAGAAGGGTCCTCAGAGACCTGTGACTCTTGGGGTTGAGCAGTGCTGGAAGGATGGGGAAGCAGATCTTTACCTCATACTGAGCAGTGTGTCATGCTTTCAGTGGGATTACTGTGTTACTATGTTTCCTTGGGATATTTAAAGTGGGATTTCTGCATATTTGGATTTTCAGGAACTGCTGTTGGGTGAATTGAGGTATAGCCTAAATTGTGAAGCTCTCCCTTGTCTCATCCACCTCTCTCTGGTAGTTACCCACCTGTCTTTCCATGTGGACTGGTAGGGCAGGTCTGTGTCTTTGGAGATCTTCGGGGAAAAAAGAACCAAGTTCCTTGGGAATTACACTTTTTCCCAAAAAGCTGGAGGACGTTTTATTTTATTATTTATTTTTTTGAGTTGGAGTCTCACTCTGTCACCCAGGCTGGAGTGCAGTGGGACACTCACGGCCACCCTGGCGTCGACCTGCTGGATTCCGGCGATCCTTCCACCTTCCAAGTAGCCGGAATTACAGGTGTGCGCTACCATGTTCGGCTAATTTTTTAATTTATTGTAGAGACGAGGTCTTGCCAAGTTGCCCAGGCTGATCTGGAACCTGTGGGCTCAAGCAGTCCACTGACCTCAGCCTCCCTAAATGCTGGGATTACATGCTGAGCCACCGAGCCCGGCCTGGAGGACATTTTAAAAGGGCCTTTGCTTTCAGTTTTCCACTGGCTATAAGGTATGCTATGAAGTGTTTTCCCTAATTGATATTCTCAGGACAAAGGAAACACTCAGGGGATCAGTCCATTCTTGGGGCAGCCTGGGCTTCCAGCAGCTCCCAAATTCTTAGAGACTCAGAGTCTGATCTAGTGGCTCAGGCTGTGGCTGGTATTATTCCCTAATGAGAAAGAGGAGTCCATTTCTAGGTCCCAGTTAGTGTTTGTCAACAGAAAAAATATGAATGCTGACTTTGTGCAGGATTGAACTGTCTGCCCTTAGTCTTATATTCTTAATGAAACAGTGTTTCCAGGCTATCCTTGTGAGTCAGTCTACAGTGTTGTAGCTAGAAACAAAACCTAGGTTGGGTATAGTGGCTCACTCCTATAATCCCAGCACTTTGGGAGGCCGAGGTGAGAGGACTGCCTGAGCCCACAGGTTTAAGACCTGCCTGGGCAACTTGGCGAGACCTCATCTCTACAGTAAATGAAGAAAAGTTAGTGGACATGGTGGCACGCATCTGTAGTTCTGGCTACTTGGAAGGCTGAGGCAGAAGGATTGCCTGAGCCCAGCAGGTTGAGGCTGCAGTGGCTGTGACCATGCCACTGTTCTCCAACCAGGGTGATAAGAGTGAGACTCTAACTTAAAAAAAAAAAAGAAAGAAAAGAAAACCTAATGACCTCTCTGGGGCAAAGAAAACAGTTTGCTTGCATTGTTGAAACTCGAGATACCACCTCTAGGGAGATGGTGAGAATGCACCGGGGTTGGGGTTGGATGATGAGAGGGTTTTCAGAAAGGTCCTTGTCTTTGGCACAAAGGCATTCTGTGCCAGGAATTATTCATAGTTGGGGTAGCACTGACCTGTGACATTTGGAATCAAGAAGGGCTGAATTAGGGTCTATCCTCATTCTTTCTAAGGATACTATCATTAAATGATTATAGAAGTCTATGTAGATCGGGCTCTATGGCTCAGCCTGTAATCCCAGCACTTTGGGGGCCGAGGCCAGTGGATTGCCTGAGACTGTGTGTTCAAGACCCGCTCGGGAAACTTGATGAGACCTTGTCTCTACAATAAATAAAAAATTAGCTGGTCGTGGTAGCACACGCCTGTAGTTCTGGCTACTTGGAAGGCTAAGGTGGAAGGATCGCTGGAGCCCAGCAGGTCGAGGCTGCGGTGGCTGGGAGTGTGCCACTGCACTGTAGTCTGGGTGACAGAGTGATACTCCAACTCAAAAAAAAAAAAAAGAAAAAAAAGGAAGTCTATGTAATTTTGAATGTTCCTTTTAAAACATTGTTTTCTGTTCTCATATCACTGCTCTTTTTTATTTTCTTTCTTCTCTCTCTCTCTGTGTCTCACTCTTGTTCTCTCTCTCCCTCTCTTTTTTTTTTTAGGACAAAAGACTGTGTTGTCAAACGTTCAGGAAGAACTGGATAGAATGACTCGAAAACCAGACTCCATGGTAACGAACTCTTCAACAGAAAATGAAGCCTGATCCTCCTTAAAAGTGCATATGTCAAATGACCAAATAACTATGTATATTGATCTGCTAAGACCAGGATTTTTGGCACATGTTATCAGTTTTTGGGGACAGGGGAGATGAACTTAAAAAAAATTCATTGGCTTGTCCAAGTGTGAAATGCATTTAGGAAGGTTACATGTCAGACCCCTTTGTTAAGGATAACCCTTGGACTCTCAGGCAGGTGACTCTAATGAGAAGCAAGTACAGCTGGGCTTCTTGTGGAGGGGAAGGTAGAGTGAGAGAAAGAGGGCCCACATTCTATCTCAGTGGAGCAAATGAGACCAGGAAATCATTGACCAGATGGTGGTTAGTCTGACCAGTTTCGTGTTAGCAAATTCACTTGTTCTTGGGAAGCAGATTAAGTAGCAGAAAGTCCAGGAAAGAGGAAGACTGAAAGGAGGAATGAGAGAAGTGATGGTGGGGAAACTGAATGTTGAGGGAGGTAGAGGAAGGAGGAGATGAGCAGTGTTAGTAAATACTGTGTGTTCAGTAGAAGTCAAAGAATCATTGTTTAAGGCTTAAAATTAGAAACATTTCCAAATTAAACACTAAGCAAAATGGAAATTAGGCTTGTTCTAAATGCATCTTTAATGTATGAAAGATGTGTTAATTGTGGGGGTGCCCAAGTCTGGTGGGGCTGACCCAGGGGTGGGAACAATGGCAGCTGTCCAGGACCCAGGCTGTGTCCTTGAGGGAGGTGCTGGGCTCCATGTATGTGTATTGTGGGGCAGACAGTCACTGTGGGATGTCTTCAAAGTCAGCAGTTACAGAATCAGTTTACTTTGAATTGTGTTTTCTAAGTAGCTCCTGCTTTGTTTTGTAAATTAAATTTTTTTTTTTTTTTACTACCACAGGCTGGCCTACTAATAGAAAATGGGTGATCGACCTCTCATTTTACCATAGTGCAATGTGCCACAGAAAGTTTGGGGGAGGTTTTTAATGTAATTGCACTTTGGTTAATTGGCTTGTACCAATCCCTGCCTTACAGTCCGTGGAAACCTTCAGGGAGGTCCACTGCTACAAAAAGGTCTTGTCCTAGCTCTCTGGTCTGATCAGTGCTATCAGATGGACAAATAAGTGTGAATGTTTTATATTGAAAATGGATATGATACATTTCTCTTGTTATGTGTTTTCATAAAATGTAGCATTTTTCTTATGGAAATAAGAATATCAGGTGTCTCCCCACTTAGGGCAAATTCATGCACATTGCCATGTCACACCACCATTCTGAAAATGACTTCAGTGGATTTGAAATGGCACTTTTAATTTTATGTATGACACAGCATTTAAATACAAACACTACCATGAATTTAATGTATAAAATTTTGTTGTCAAACCAAGGGAAAAAAACCACAGTTCACTGTGTGGAGTTTACTTTTTTTTATATGAATGTTTGTTGTCCTGTGTCTAAGCATAACTTCCCTAATGTCATTACTTTTACATACCAGATTTGACTGACCACTAATGTAGTGCTGGGCATAACTTAATATCCTATGTTGTAGACAAGACTCTTAAGACTGTCTTGAATTGCTTTTGTAAAGGTCTGAACACTGTTAAGGAGAAAGCTGAGTATTTACTTGCCTTTCTGACAAACATGTTTCTTGTGCCAGTTTTATTGTTGAAGTATACTATTTTTTTTCTTTTTTTAATTCAGTTTTTTAAAACAAATATATTGTGGCTTCCAATTACCAGGTTGTCTAGGTAATGACAGTAAACTGACTGTGGAATGATAGTTGTGGTGTAGTGACCAATAGATGCCAAACAACTTGTGACCACTCTAAAGGTGGGGTCACTTAATTCCTGGGAGCAAAATGAGTAACCTCAGAAACAAGGAATTCTTGGAAAGGCACATGCCTAAGGGATACAGTGTGATTTTAAATTTTAAAGCAAAATTTTAATTTTAATTTTTTATCATTTGAACTGATAAGCACTTTTGTGTCAATATAAAATGTACTAAAACTGATGAAATGCTAAGACACATGTCTTGTGAAGGAAGGTTTCTTGGAAACCACTTTTATTTTCTCATGACAGGTGGATGCCCCTAGTATCAGAAGAAACGAATACATAGGGTCATGTGCTCAGTGGTTGCCAAAGTCTACCAACTTTGGGGAGCTGCAGGGTTCTTTTTGGAGGGTGGGAGGAAGGGAGTTGATTTTTGTTGTTTTGGGGTTTTCAAGCATTGGAACCAAAGGCCAAATAATAAACAGCCTTTACTTTTTAAGGTAAAATTTGTTTTATTTGCAGAGTACACTTGTATGGTAGACTGTTAAAGACAATTTTATGACTATTTATACACATTATAGTAATTACATCTACTGTTTGTCTTTAAAAAAAAAAAATCAAAGAAAAGCCCAACCTTGAAGATGTGGCTGAGATAAAGGCCATGAATTGGTCTTTCCTAAAAATGTAACAGGTATGCTGCTAGATTACTTTTATTTTGTTTGCACTTTTTTTGATTGGCATTTTAAAATCAGTATTTAAACTGAGGACATTGTCTTGTTTTATTAATTTAAAAAGTTGAAAGTGACTGCTCTGTACATCATGACCTTAACAATGTTGATGCTGTAAGTGAAAGTTCACTGTTGTCTATATACTAAGTTTATTGATGTTTTTAACTTAAAATTAGGACTGCAGATGATCCCCCCACCAGCCTTAGTCCAGGGGTGTGGCTCTATCCGAGTGCAGTATGCAGTCATGTGGAACCTTGCTTTCTAGTGCTGGAAAAAGATGTCTCTAATTACTGGCTTCAATAAACACGAATCCAGACTGCTTACAATTTTTGGTGACTTTCTTTATGATAAATCATTCCATGGAAATACACTGAATTGTCTGCTAGTCATATGGGGTATCTGATTATGTAGATAAAAATATTTACCTTTTCACATTTGAAATTATCAGAAATTCTTAAATAATAATGTTATAAAGCTATTGTTTTGAACATTGTGGAGTTCAAGCTGTGTGTAGAGTACAGTGGGGTTTCCAAGTTGTCTAACATATTTTCTTGCCTCTTGGATAAACTTGATTGTCTGAATTGAACTGAGTGATTTTTACTTAGCTAATTTAGAGGTATTGAGAATTCAAGGCTGGGCACAGTGGCTCATGCCTATAATAACAGCATTTTGGGAGGCCAAGGTGGGAGGACTGCTTGAGCCCAGGAGTTTGAGGTTACAGTGAGCTGTGATTACGCCACTGCTCTCGAGCTTGGGTGACATAGCAGACCCTGTCTCTTCAAAAACAAACAAAAAACCTCCACAAAACAGCATTGGGGAATTTTAGAGCAACTGTACTATAATGCTTTTTACTTACTTACAGAAAAATTTGTTCAAGAAAATTGGATACTTTGTATTAGAGTACATGAGTTGTATTTCTGATTAACATATTCATTTTAAGCATGTTGAGATTTTTGTTCTTTAGTGTTGATTCACTATACAGATTTTTAAGACTTTATTTTGAAAAATTGTAAACCTACAGAAAAGTTCAAAAGAGTATATTGAATACCATATTTTTTATTTAGATTCACCAATTTTTGTCTCTTTCTCCCCCCTCCCTCTGTCATACTAATGTGCACAGGCACCTGCACATACTTTCCTCCTTGAATCATTTAAAATAAGTTTTAATCAGGGTCTTTCACCCCTAAATAAATCAGATGGGTCAGATCAATTGTCTTATAGAAAGTCTCATATTCTGGATTTATGTTATTGTTTCCTCATGATTTGATTCTGATTAAACATTTTTTGCAAGAATGCTGCATTCTACATAAATGAGGTTGTATATGTGCTAGTGTGGCTAGTGTGTCACATCAGTTTGTCCCTATATTGGTGATGCTGGGTTTGTTTCCTTAGTTAAGGTGGTGTCCCTCAGATCTCAGGCAGTCAGTGGGGTGCTACTGGTGAATATACTGGTCTTCAGTCACCTTTTTCTCACTGCTGATAGCACACACTGATGATCCTTGCCTGAATCAGTCACCACACTGAAGGCTCAGGAAGAATAATTTTCTTATTCTATCATTTCTTCTACATTTATTGCTTGTATTTTTTTCCCTCTGCCCTTGTTAGGTTGTTATGAATTTACAGATTTTATGAAAATTCAAAGTGTTGCAATCTAATAACTGTCTTTTTTTTTTTTTTTGAGTCAGGGTCCCACCCTGTCGCCCAGGCTGGAGTGAGGTGGCACAGTCGCAGCTCACTGCAGTCTCGAACTCAGGCTTAACCACTTCTCTTTCCTCAGCCTTTTAAGTAGCTGGGACTGCAGACGTGAGCCACCACACCTGGCCTGTCATTCTTTTTGTTTGAGCCAAAGTCTCACTGTTACCCAGGCTAGAGTGCAGAGGCACGCTCACAGCCACTGCAGGTCTCAACCTGCTGGGCCCAGGCAGTCCTTCCACCTCACTTTTTCAAGTGGCTGGAACCACAGGCATGTACCACCATGCCCGGATAATTTTTTGATTTTTTATAGAGATGTGATCTCACTAAGTTGCCCAGGCTGGTCTTGAAACCCTGGGCTCAGGCAATCCTCTCACCTTGGCCTTCCAAAATGCTGGGGTTATACGCATGAGTCACTGCTCCCAATGACCTGTCATTCTTTTTGATGCTCAGATCGCCCCAAGTTTGAACAGAAGGACCCCCTTCAACCAGCTGTGTCTTTTTTTTTTTGAGTTAGTCTCACTCTGTCACCCAGGCTGGAGTGCACTGGCACACTCACAGCTCCCGCAGTCTCAACCTGCTGGGCTCAGGTGATCCTTTAGCCTCAGCATTCCAAGTAGCTGGAATCACAGGTGCGTACCAACACGCCTGACTAATTTTTTTTTTTTTACTTATTGTAGAGACAAGGTCTCACCAAATTGCCCAGGCTGGTCTTGAATCCCTGGGCTCAGGCAATCCTCTCACCTCGGCCTCCCAAAGTGCTGGGATAACAAGCATGAGCCACTGTGCTTGGCCTTTTAAAAAAATTATTTTTATTGAGATACAATTTACAGAGTTTTTTGGTATATTCACTATGTTGTTCAACTATTACCACTATCAAATTCCATAACATTTCATTACCCCAAGAGAAACCACATACCTTGTCAGTCAAATTCACCCCTTCCCTTTTCCCTGGCAACAACAAATCTTTCCATGAATTTGCCTATTTTAGGTATTTTATATAAATGGAATCATACAGTATGTGGCCTATTTGTGTCTAGCTTCTTTCACTTAGTATAAAGTTTTCCTGCCTCGTTCATGTTGTTTCTATCAATGTTTTATTTTTTTTTAGAGGCAGGGTCTTGCTATGTTGCCCAGGCTGCTTTTGAACTCCTGGGCTGAAGCGACCCTCTTGCCCAAGCATCCCACATAGCTGATTTGAGTCACTCTATCTTTTTAGAGATAGGGTCTCAGCTGGGCGTGGTGGCTCATGCCTGTAACCCCAGCACTTTGGGAGGCGGAGGCGAGAGGACTGCCTGAGCTCAGGAGTTTGAGACCAGCCTGGGCAATATGGTGACATCTCATCTTTACAATAAATAAAAAAATAAGCTGGGTATGATGTGCAGGCCTGTGGTTCTAGCCACTTGGAAGGTTGAGGAGGAAGGATTATCTAAGCCCACCAGGTCGAGGCTGCGGTGGCCGTGAGTATGCCACTGCACTCCAGCCTGGGCAACAGAGTGAGACTCTGACTCTAGACAGATAGATAGATAGATTAGATAGATAGATAGATAGATAGATAGATAGATAAAGATAGGAGATAAAGGGACTTCCTGGGCCGGACATAGTGGCTCAAGCCTGTAATCCCAGCACTTTGGGAGGTGAGGGGATTGCCTGAGCCTAAATCAAAAAATTAGCCGGGCATGGTAGCTTGTGCCTGTAGATCCGGCTATTTGGAAGGCTGAGGTGGAAGGATCGCCTGAGCCCAGTGGGTCAACTCTGGGGTGGCCGTGAGCATGCCACTGCACTGCAGCCTGGGAGACAGTGAGATGCCAACTAAAACAAAAAAAAGGGTCTCGTGTCTCCCTGCTTCGGCCTCTAGAGTGCTGGGAATACAGGTATGAGCCACCATCCCTGGCCTGTCTTTTAAACAGTTATAGCAAGAGTGTGAAGTATTATTTCAATAACTAAGGATGTTGTGGAGCATCTTTTGATGTACTTATTGGCCATTTATATATAAATTTATATATCTTCTTTGGAGAAATGTCTAAGTTCTTTGCTCATTTTAAAATTAGGTTATTTGCTTTTTTACTGTTGAGTTTGTAAGAAAGAGTTCTTTATATATTCTGGATACTAAACTTTTACCAGGTATAGCTGTGTCCTTTTGACATGCTCCTGTTGGTCTGAGCATTTTCCTCTTTTCTGACACATAAAGCTCTTCCAGGTTCACCTTGCATTTTCCATGCCTTTGACCTGGAATCACCCATTTTTCCAAGGAGCCCTGGTATCTTTTAGTGGGAGATTGGTCTTTGGAAACTAAGATCTGGACTTTAATCATACTTAATGTTACTAGGTGTTGTGTTCTGACTTTTAGGTCCTTTCAGTGGACATATCATTTGTATCTTTCACTTAACATTGCCATTAAGTTGGTTTATATTAGTTCATGGAAATTTTTATTATTTATGGCTACAGAGCACTCAATTGTGTAATATACCGTGTTTATTCAACCAGCTCCTATAGATGGGCATTTAGGATGTTTCCAATCTTTTGTTGTTACATGTGATGCTGCAGTGAATAACCTTGTGCCTATTTGTGTTTATTTGTGGAGGTGTGTCCTCAGGGTAAATTCCTAGTAGTGGACCTATCAATTCAAAAGGTAAATGCACATGTGTAGCTTTTGTTAGACATTATTAGAATCCTTCCCATAGAGATTACACCAATCTGCATGCCTATCAGCAGTTGCACAATTTATTTATCTATCTATCTATTTATTTATTTATTTTTGAGTTGGAGTCTCACTCTGTCACCCAGACTGGAGTGCAGTGGCCGCTCCCGGCCACCACAGCCTCGACCTGCTGGGCTCTGGCGATCCTTCCACCTCCGCCTTCCAAGTAGCTGGAACTACAGGCGCGCGCTACCACATCCGGCTAATTTTTGATTTATTGTAGAGATGAGGTCTCGCCAAGTTGCCCAGGCAGGTCTCGAACCCGCGGGCTCAGGCAATCCACTCACCTCAGCCTCCCAAAGGCACGGGATTACAGGCTGAGCCACCAAGCTCGGCTTGTACAAATTATTAATTAATCATAGTTTGCCTTAGTTTGCCTTAAAATTGAGTTTAGGAAGTTTGGTGAACAAATTTTTATTTGGAGAATTATTTTATTTGATGATATTAGCAGTAACATTATAATAGCAAATACCAGTATTAGAGATTGCTATATACCAATTACTCCTCTATATATTTTATATAAATTGATTTAATCTTTACAACAGCTCTGAGGCAAATACTCTGTCATTACATCCTAGTTTCCAGATGAGGAAGCTAAGGCACAGATAGACTAAGTCGCTCCTGGGGTCAGAGCCGGAATTTGAACCCAGGAAGTCTAGCCTCTGTGTTTGATCTAACCTAGGTGCTATGCTGATATTAACTGTGCCATTTAAAGGAAATAGAGAAAATATATCAATTGAAAGTATTTGTCTGTGGTCCTAAGCAGACGTGTGTTGGTGTTCCACATTTTTTCCCTTGCCATCATGGATGGAGGAGTTACTCGTTAGGTGGTCAGAAATGGCAGATGGAGAATATATCCAAAGAGAAAGTATCCAGTGTACTTATACAAAGAGGGAAGGAGCTGTAGTCGTAGGCATCTTGCTGGGAAAGGCA